AAAATTTATTTCATAAGTTATTTTAAAAATATTATTTTATCCAATTAATTTACAATACATATTTTATTTATTAATAAATCAAAGATTAAAAATCATCCTCTACACAGAGGGTTATGGTGGGACAAACATTGAGAGGCAATATCAAATGTAACCATTGATTCACGCTGAATTAATAAATTCATGCAGCATGATAAGCTCTCAATTCATCCAGCAGACGGCTCAAATCTGAGCAAGACGATCCTTCTTCATCATCTATGGCCTTCCGTGCCCTGGCTTTCAACGCCTGTGCTCTGCTCCTCATCCCTTCCGATTCTTCGCCGACCATCACTCTCCGGATGCGCTCTGCAATCGCCTCTCTCTTCACCACACCCTCCCATCTCGTCCACTCCTTCGATCCCACCCCTACTCCCGCCCGAAGAATCTCGGTCACCAGCTTCTCGTTGAGGAACTGATCCGCAAATGCGGGCCAGGTGACCATGGACACGCCCGCACACACCGCCTCCAGCGTCGAGTTCCACCCGCAGTGCGTCACGAATGCGCCCACCGCTCCGTGCTCTAGAATCAGAAGTTGTGGGGCCCACCCTCTTATGATCATCCCCTTCCCCTTCATCCTCTCCTCGTACCCTTCCGGCATCCATTCGTCTTGTTTTTCTTCTTCTTCTGCCCGCGGGTTCCTTATGACCCATACAAACTCCTGCCCGGAAGCCTCAATCCCGGCTGCCATTTCTTGGAGTTGAGCAGGGGGGAAACTCACAATGCTTCCGAAACAAACATAAACCACGGAGTTGGGTTTCTTCGTGTCCAGCCATTCCATGCACTTTCTCGCATCCATGGATGGTTTCTTCCCTCTGTCGGCTTTGTCCTCGACGTCCCCGTTTTGAAGGGAAAGCGGCCCCACAAACCACGACCTTCTGCCGAGAACATTCCTGTAGTGCTCTGCATAATCGGGTTCGAGCTCGTAGAAGCTGTTGATGATCACCCCGTAGCTGGTTTCTTCTGACTCCCCAACTTCCCTCATGAATTCCGTCATGTAGGACCCATCATCACCGTCGCCGCCTGTGGTGTCATGAGGAGAAATATGCAGCCTTGTGAGCTTCACCTGGTGCGGAAGATCCGGAATCGTGAACAGTTCTGAATCGGAGGAAACATTCTCGAACGGCCTCTGGATTCTAAGGCTGTACAAAGCACACAGAGAAAAACAGCAGGTTCCGTGAAAGACGAGCCTCGGGATATCAAACTTGGCTGCAGCCATCGTAGCCCAAGGGAATAGCATGTCGGCAACTAGGCAGTCCGGTCGGAGCTCGTCCAAGAGCTGTTCCAAGGGTTGCTGGAGCATACCGCAGGCCTTGATGAAACTGGGGAGTGCGTCCGGGGAGGGGATCTGATCAAGGCGCTGGCAGTTTTCCGGCAGGCCAACCTGGACGCCGGGGAAGTCGATTGAGCGGATCTGCATCTGGTGCCCCAACTTGGCGTGTTTCTCTATGGCTTTGGTGAAGAGGGTCTGGTTGTAAGGGGTGGTGACGACGGTGGACTTGATCCCCCGCCGTGAAGCGAAGAGCTTGGCCATGTCCAGTGTTGGAATGATGTGGCCGTGGGCCATCATTGGGAAGAACAAAACGTGGAGATGATCACCCATGGTGGTAATGGCTGGCTGGTTCTGTCTTAGCTGGTCTGAAGCTTCTTTATAGAGTAAGCCCAATCATCTGTGCCATTATTGTTGCTGCAATTTCTCCTTTAAGAAATGGTGAGATTGGTCATTATGTTATTGGTCCATATCGATCATGACCTATGGAAAGCGTTTGTGCATAACTTGATAAAAGTGATAAAGATGTGAGAGGCGACACGAGCAAAGTGGGGTAATGAAGCGGCAGTGGAAAGCCAACCAGTCCACTAAAGCACTTGAATTCGTTGGGTAATGTCAATCGCGTTCATTCTTGAGTCGAACTCCGGCAGTGGCATTGCGGGAGTTCAATTATTTCTAATAGCTGCTTGTGCGCATCGGGCACGTGACCGTCTCTCTAAAGACGAGATTGAGATTATATCATGATTTATCTCCATCACAATCTTGTTGGGTCGGGGTGTTGAGGTGCCTGGAGTGAGCGTTTCGCCTTTTTTTGAATTGGGTGGTGTACTCCACCCTTCTCAAATAAACCTTATCAAGATTAACTTTTACAAATTTCTGAAAAACAAAAATAAAAAACAAAAATGAATGGCTAAAAAGTATTTAGACGACACAAAAATATGGTGAACCACAGGTTGTTTAGTAAACAAAGGTAATAAAGTGGAAAATAATTTTTTAAAATATTTAAAAAGAAAAATTGGATAAAAAAATTGGGATGCAAGGAATACTAAACTCAAGAATAATAATGCACGGAAGAGTATATATAGAAAAAAGGATAAATTTGTGATTTAGAAAAATGAATGCTTCTTTGGTGCACCTTGGGAAATATTATTTTTGTAGACCTTCTCACCTAAAAAAATCTTTTTTCTATTTTTTTTATTGTAAAAAATAAATACTTATTTAAGTAGTAAAGATATAAGGGTGTAAACGGATATTAATCGGATCGGATGTGCCATTACTAAATCCGTATTCGTTTATTTTTGTCGGATATCGAATTCGAATACGGATCTTGAAGGATACTGGAAATCAAAACCATATCCGCATTCGTCGGATATCGTTCAGATTATTTTCCACTCCTTTTTTTCTAGTTTTCTCTTTGCTTCCCTATGGTGTAAATTTGCTCGCGGACAAATTACTCTAGACCGGGTCTAGGATTGTTTACTGAGTTTAGAGACTAAAGTGACACAAAAAACAAAAGTTGATAGGGAGGACTATAGGTGGGAATACCTGTAGTCTAATCGATATTAAGTACTCCCTCCGTCCGGGAATGATAGTCCGACTTTGACTTTTCTTCATTTTTAAGGAGTGTTGACTTCAGGATGAAAATGTCTACATTATCCTTCTTATTTTCTTTGATTTGCCACTAGAACCACTGCCCCAATCATAGATCCATGAACTACCACCCGGCCACCATTGTTTGCCACCGCCGCCCCAGCCCCCACTGTTGGCCGCCGCCCCCCCAGCCCCCACTGTTGGCCGCCGCCCCAGCCCACACTGTTGGCCGCCGCCCCACTGTTGCCCTTACACAATCATCGTCAACCCTATCTAGCAACAGTGGTCGCCGCCCCAACATCTCTCCCAGACCCAACCACCATTTCACCACCCCCACCACCACCATCAATCGGACCATCATCCTCAGCTACCACCATCGCCATTGCTGGCAGAAAGAGAAAACAGAAGGGGGGAGATGAGAAGAAGAAGATTAAGCATATGTAGATCTCCGCAGATCCATCACCACTCCAACTCTCACGACTGTCATCTGTTACCGTGTCGCCGCCAACCCCAGATCTATAGGAGAAGAAGAAGCAACAGTCTCTTATTTCCCTCATCTAGAAAGTCTCTTTTTTCTCTCTTTCTTTCCTTTCTTTTCCTCTAACTTCTTTCCTTCTTCCTTGCCGACCTTCTCTTCTTCTTTTTCCTTAATTTCTTTCTCTGCCTCTTTTCCCAACCGCCTCCTCCTTCCCCTTTTCTTTTTTTCTTTCCTTCTTTTCTTTCTCTACCTCCCATTAAACGGAAAAGTAGAGGAAAAAACGTACAATGGGAACATCATTCCCGGACGAAAAAAAACGTACAATGGGACTATCATTCCCGGACGGAGGGAGTATTAGAGTTGATAGGTGCAATCCACCCAGGCCATGACCCAGGTCGAGATGACCACACGGGCAAAGTCCAGGTAATATGCAGCAGGGTTGTTTGGGTGATTTTGTACCCTGCCCGGGCGAGGTTCAGCTAGACCACCCGGGCAAGGTCTAGGTAATGTGCAGCAGGATTGTTTGGGTGGATCTGTACCCTGCTCGGGTTAGATTCAACCAAGGCCACCCCTGGCAAGGTCCAGGTACTAGGTACTATGCAGCTGGGTTGTTTGGGTGGATCTGTACCTTGCCCAGGTGGGGTTCAGCCAGACCACCCGGTCAACTAGCATTACACTGCATTGGGATCCTCGAGTGATCAGACGTTCCTTCAAGAAACCACCCGGGCAAGTTTTTGGGACTCGTACTGGGTGGTCAGTTTTGGCGTACATGTGTCGGCAAGAATAATCCAAGTGTGGTTGGACGGTAGCCAGAGGCGGGTCTAGTTCAATGGAGTAGAGGGCAAATGCCCCCAACTAGTTTTTTTGTAATAAGGTAAAAAATGAAAAAATTAAAATTTTTATGTATATATGCCTCCAACAAAAACTAATGTGACCCCATCTAATTAGGCTAAATTTAAATTTTTTGTTAGTTTTTTTAGTAAAGTGTGTTTTGTTGCATATAAATAATCTTTTATAAAATAAAATTTTACATAACCTATTAAAAATGTTTTACATTCAATAAATGTTTGAAAATAAAACTCATTAATTTTTGTCATTTCAAATAGTCTACCAAAAAATTTGGGGTGTCACCCCTGGATAATAATGCCTTCCATCTAATTGAATTTCTGGATCCGCCACTGACGGTAGCGACTGAAGATCGCTGAGAATATTTAGATATTCTCGTCCAAACATTACGCGCCAAGAGAGGTGCCATCCGTACAAGCCGACGAATGAGGAAGACAAGCATTACGTGGCAATGGAAGTCACCTCGCACCGTCCGGGGACCGGAACGTGGACTGACGTGGACATTCTTTGTCTTGAATATGCTCCACTATAAATAGCCTTGTAATCCTCAATAGATGTGGGCATTCATGTTTTTCCACAATTAGGATAAGATTTTTCTTTCTGTGCGGGTGATACACTAGTTTGATATAGAAATTGATTTTTATAATTTTGCAAAGGCCATGACGTTCACCCGAACCCATTTCTCATACTAACTTTTGTTTTTTCTTCTTCATTCTTCTATGTCCCCTCTTTTTTAATTCAATATATAAATCAAAGTGCTGATTTGTTAGTGTTTTTTAGGGCTAATCGCACAGATGCCCGTGGTGATTTACAAAAGAGGATCAATGCATACTCCTCAATCATATTAACCATGTGAAATTTGCACAGAATAGGACTAAAACATAAGTCATTTCCCAATGTAAGCTTAAATTTTTTTATTCCCTAAATAGGACTTAATAATGACTAGTGAGAAGAATAATGTCTAAGTGATGCTGGACATTTATTTGAATAATGACTAATAGATAATTACCAATGGTCCTCTATTAGAAAATAAAAACATATGGTCCTATATTGAGAAAATCATTATGTTTTAGTTTTATTTAAGTAAATTAAATCAAATCTCAACATAATAACAGACAATAAAACATCACATATTATTATGTTCTCATAATATTTAAAAGGTTTACAATTTTAAACATCACTGAAATATAGGCATTGGCCGCATTGCAACTACTTCGTAAAATATAGACTTACTAGTAATAACCCCGTGCTTCGCACGGGCTCTGATATTTTCTAAATTTTGAAATCTAAATTAAAAAATAAAAATAATATTTATTTTAAGTTCTCTAATGATATATGATGTGTTTGATAAATATTTTTTTAGTATATAATATCTCTTTTTGAGAGAAAAGTTTTAATTTTATTATTGATGTACATGTACTAAAATTTATATAAAAAATATACAAAATAAATGCTGGATTGTTTTTAAAAATAAAATAAATGCTGGATTATTTATATAAATAATATGTTATGAAGTTAATAAAGATGCACGTGTGATAAGATTTATATATGATAGATTTTTTTGAGATGATGGAATTATAAGCAACATTGTTTTTTATGAATAAATTTTATATAATTTTTTTTAATTATAAAATAGTCACGCATATTTAAAAAATATGTAAAAACAATGAAAAAATATATCTAAAATAGTGAGAGAGCGAAAACTTTGTAAGAAGTTAATAAAAATAATGAGTTTTTATTGTTGAAAAGTGAAGGATTTATAAAAAAATAATAAAAAATAATGATTATTTAATACAAAATTAAATATGCATGCATGGAAAGACATGTGTCATGTGATTTACATGTGGCGTGACACATGTCAGTAGTATGAATGCGTGGCATGACATGTGTCGTCACAGCAACCATGGCATGCTTGCATGGAAAGACATGATTTACATGTGGCGTGACACATGCCAGTAGTATGTACGCGTGGCATGACACATGTCATCACCACAACCATGGAACTCTCTTTTACATACATACATACATACATACATACATACATACATACATACATATATATATATATATATATATATATATATATATATATATATATATATATATAGGATTTTGATAACGATACATTTAAGGATTGAAACACTCAGACAATGACATATTGACAGACTCATACATTTAAGGATTCATTGTCGTTATTGACCTTGTAATTAATTTGTTATTATGCATTGTAAGCTCTATGCTCTCAATTCATCGAGGAGAGCACTCAAGTCGGAGTAAGAAGACCCTCCTTCCTCGACCGCCTTTCTCGCCTTTTCTTTCAACGCCTTGGCTCTGCCCCTCATCTCCTCTGACTCCTCGCCGATCATCACCCCTCCGCAACTGCTTCTCCCTTCACGCCATCGCTCTCTGACACCGTCCACTCTTTCGAACCCACTCCTACGCCCGTCCTCAGAATATACGTCACCATCTTCTCGTTGACGAACTGCTCTGCCAGGATGGGCCAGGTGACCATGGGCACGCCCGCACACACCCCTTCCAGCGTCGAGTTCCACCCGCAGTGTGTCACGAATGCGCCCACCGATCCGTGGTCGAGAATCATCATTTGCGGGGCCCATCCTCGTATGATCAGCCCTTTCCCTCGCGTCCTCTCCTCGAATCCTTACGGAATCCATTCTTTTTCCTCCTCCACCGTTGACCTCAACACCCAGATGAATTCCTGCTCGGAATCCTCGATCCCGACGGCCATTTCCCGGAGCTGAGAGTCTGAGAATTTCGCAAGGCTCCCGAAGCAAATGTAAACGACGGAATCGGGTTTCTTGGAATCCAGCCATTCCAAGCATTCTTTCTCGTCAATGACGGGCATCTTCCCTATTTCGGCTTTGTGCTCCATGTCCCGCTTTCCTAGAGAAAGTGGCCCCACAAACCAGGACCTCCGACCAAGAACATTCCTGTAGTGCTCCGCGTAATCCGGTTCGAGCTCGTAGAAGCTGTTGAAGATGACCCCATAGCTGGTCTCCTCCGTCTCCCAAATTCGTTTCATGAACTCCGACATGGCCGAGTCATCATCTCCCCTGTCGTCGCTGCCTTTGCGTTCGGACGGTGGAACCTGCAGTCTAGTGAGACTCACCCGGTGCGGAAGACCAGGAAGGACAAACGACTCCGAGTCAGAGGAAACGTTTATTGAACGGCTTGTGAGTTCTGAGGCTGTGAAGAGCACACAGGGGAAAACACCCGATCCCGTGAAACACGAGTCTCGGGATGCCGATCTTGGCGGAGGCCTCCGTGGCCCAAGGGAAGAACATGTCCGCGACCACGCAGTGCGGGCGGATCTCCTCCAGGAGCTGCTCAAATGGCTCGTGGAGCAAAGCGCATGCCTCGAAGAACCTGGGAAGTTCTTCGCGACGTGATCGAGTCGCTGGCAGTCCCCCGGCAAGCCGGCCCGAATGCCGGGAAACTCCGGGAGGAGACGGATCTCGATGTGGGCTTGTGTTTGTATGGGTTTGGAGAAAAAGGGTTGGTTGTAAGGGGTGGTGACTATGGTTGACTTGACGCCATTTGAAGAAGCAAATAGTTTGGCCAGGTCCAGTGTTGGAATCATGTGGCTGGGGGCCATCAACGGGAAGAATAAAACTTGGAGTTCACGGCCAGTCATTTTACTCATTCGTACAGTAGGAATTTTTTATTTATAGTACGTACGGAGTTACAAATGGACGTACTGCGGACGCATATTTATAGTACGACCGGGGCCGGGTGAAAATAAAAGTCTCATCGGGTGGCGTCATCAAATGGCGATTGTCCATAAATTTGTGGCGCTAGGGCTGACGAGTGGGCTTTTAATATTAGTACCCCGTCCTCAATTTGATTACAAATTAGGGTTTATCGAGAGAAATATTTCATTTTTTGAAATTGTTTTATTTATAAATTGGTATATCATTAAGAAATAAAATTTACATATTAAAATACTACGTCAAAAGTTCTACAAAAAAAGAGGTGATAAGAATATTTTATTTTATCAAATATTTAATGAAATCACGTAAACAAACAAAAGTTATCGGGAAGACAGAGAAAAAAAATTGTAATCAAATTGGCAACGGATGGAGTATTAGTTTATTACATTTATTTTCGACGAGCATTTACTTGAGAACGACTTTATTTGTGGTACCCCGGGTACTTTCTCTGTTCTTCTGTAATGCAAACCATTTTTTAATTCCCTCCGTCCCCAATTACATTACAATTTTTTCTATCTCTTCTAGATAATTTTTGTTTGTTTACGCGATTTCATTAAATATTTGATAAAATAAAATATTTTTGTCACCACTTTTTTGTAAAACTTTTTTTGTAGTTTTTTAATATGTACGAAGTAATTTTTATTGGGGGCGGAGGGAGTATTAGAGGAATTTGTAGAAGTTTGGCAAATGTGAATTGACGACATTTGAAAAAAAAGGACGAGCCACATCTCTGATGGTCTGCTTAGATTCGGTCAGAGGCTTATTGAGAGGAAGTAAATTAGACTTTGGTCGTAGATTGGTTGTAACGATTGAAGCCTGCATCTGGTCCTTGCAGAAATTCTATGCTTAACATAGTTACATTTTAGCGCAGTTGCTAGGAGTCGAACTCGTGTCTTACCTCCTTAGATCTCCTTGCCTTACCAACTGTGCAATGCCCATAATATTTGAAACAAGTAGTACTCGAAAAGTAGTCTCGAAAAATATGCTTGGAAAAAATGTCCAAATGTGTAGGGCGTAAAAAGTCATTGAAGTGGGTTCAGTTAGATTTAAAAAGTAAGGACCATTGTTTCAATTTAAACAAAATTGAATATTTTATAAGACATGTATGATGAGAAAGTTTAAAAGTTTTACGAGAGAAACAAAATGATACTTTTCCTTATTCATATGCTTGAAGATTTAAATGCTTTTTTTTTTAATGAATTTGGTTGTATAGTATGTATTATTGATTAAGTTTGAGGATTTCTTGTTTGCATATTTGTTGCACCACCAGTCCTACAAAATCTTTCTCTTTCATTTTTTCATCCATCCCAAAAAAAAATTTCATTTCTATTAAAAAGTCACTTTTTTTCTTACTAATTCTTAGCATATTTATCACATCATACTTCTTCACTATTAATTTACTCATCACATTTACTTTTATTCATCACATCCAAAAGCTTTTTTAAAAAGTCAACATCAAAATACACCATCTTTAGATTTTTTAAAAGTCAAAACTAGAAAGTTTTTGTGGGACGGAAGAGTAATATATACTACGATCCGTATAGTATTGTAAGGCAGGGAAAATGTTTGGTTTACAAACAAAATGGTCACGAATCTCACAAACGTACTATTCATGAACTTCAATAAAAAAATAAGGTAGTCTAAAATAATTTTAAAACAATTATTTATACTATATATATATATATATATATACATATACATATACATATATATATATATATATATATATATATATATATGCAGTAAATTATATTGTAAATATTAAATCTTTAATATATGCAGTACTAAATTTCATTTTCATATAATTCATAAAAAATTAATAGCATATAAATTTTTAATGATTTTTTTCTTTTGATTTTTTCATCAGATTTATTTTATTTTTAAATTTTAATTTTTGTACATATATTATTGAATATCTTTCATGAAACATAATTAAAAAAATAAATTTTCCTAGCAGCCAAGTCTAAAAGCTACTTTCTTTGGCTTTTCAGATCAAACAACCAAGTAAAAAAACCATTAGTCAAACAATGATTTTAGCTTTCAATTAATCAAAAATGCCAAATTCAGTTAAAGATGACAAAATTCATCCGAAAAGCCATTTTTCATACACAGCCAAAATTTGTACACATCGTCTAATCGATTGGTATTTCTATTTGAGTAATTTTGTATAATTCAACGTTTACTAAATTAAGATTTCTTGTGTTTTTATACTTCACAAATTAAGATTTCTTTGTTTTTATACTTCAAAAGATATTGTGATATCATTTTGCATTACTTTGTACTCCGTAGTATTATTGACATGAGTATAGAAAGTCTTGATATAGAGTTTTTGGATCTTGTTTAAAAACAATATTTTTTTTATTATCGTTTAAAATAAAATTTTAGAAGTGTAGATTAATTTTTCAAAAACATTAAAATGAAATATATAGCCCATTTTCGTATCAAATTAAATAAAATATGTTTTCTTGTTTTAGCAAATAAAAATATTTCATGATTGTGATTTGGGACTATAATGAACACGTGTCATACGTGTCATTCAGTAATTGGTTAATGGGAGATGACTATGAAGCATTCTCCTTGAGAGATGCACAGAAGCAAACGGCATGACTTTTGGGTGGGAAAAGTGACATTACTTTGACTTTGGCATAGAGGAACACTCATCTAGTCATCTATCGATATTCGATAGAATAGGAATATATTGCGGAGAAATTTCATAAAAAAAAGTGAATTACCTTTACACCTGTATACTCATTAGTTTCATTAAAGAAATGGCGGGACTGTTTGAAAATAATGTTAGAGATTATCATTAGCATTTTGAAAAAGGATGTCTACGCGCGTTTTCAAAGTAATTTGCACCGTTAAAATTTTATCCAAAACATTAACGCTAATCTCTAACGTTATTTCCAAATAGTCCCGACAAGTATTCATTAGAGGTGGGTCAAAAAATAGATCCGGCCTTGTTCCTAACTAGATTGAAGTTGTAAGGATCGAAAAAACCGGGTTTTAAATAGTCTTGTAAATTATTTCCCGAAATGAATCGCACTATTTTTAAAATGGTACGGGACAAGTTCTCAACCAAAAATATCAAACTGAACCATTACCATTAATTTTGGTATTAAAATGAGTTATTTTGGTACTACTTTCTAATTTCGCCCTTATGTTATAATAGAGTAGGTTGAGATGTGTAAGGTAGATGAATCATAATTAAAAAATAAAACCAAAACTATTCGTTTTAAAAACAGACTTTTTTTCAAGCAGGAAGAATTTTATGGGACGGAAGGAGTAGTAACAAACTACATTTATTTAGTGTGAATTTAACATATTGTATTATCTGGAGTACAACTCAAATTATAATTTTTATTGTTGAAATACTCCGTATCAAACTACATTTATGTTCTGTCAAAAAGTTGTAACTAAACAATATACTTATTGAGTAAAATTGCACTAAGTTTTTTCAAATTGCGTCGATTATTTTTTATAAGGATTAAGCTATTTGTACACCAAAATTTGCACCTCATTTTGTACCCCAAAGACATACACTGACATTTTGTGCTAGGGTGATGTTAGTGTGGCGATTTACATTGCAAAAATGTCACTTTTTAGTATACCCATAACATGGTTGTTTGTATAAACAAAATATTTGCAACGCGTCCAAGTATTGTGGTATTGTTTGGCATTAGTATGACATGGTACCATCCCGCTTTCGAATGACATGTAACTATACCAAATGAGTGTAAGCATAACTATCCCGAACTATTTGATTAGTAAGAAGATCATACACGTTTTTTTAAAATAACATCAGAATACCATTAATTCAAATCAGAGTACAAAGTCTCATAAAGAAATGTTGGAGGGGCATGAATCCACTCCAAACAATCAGACTCGGAATCAGATGCTCTAGCCAACATGTGAGCCACCTGATTCGCTGATCTTTTAACAACTGAAAGTATAAAAGAAACAAAGTCTCGCATCACTATCTTACAATCAGAGATAATATCTAAGGAATAAGAATGTGAATGAGTTTCAATATCTTCTTGAATTACTTTAAATACCACCTCACTGTCGATCTCGACACTTAGATTCATTTGTCCAACTGGCATCCTAGGCCACCTCAATGCTTCCCAGGTCCTGTTGCTTCATCCATTTGTGCATCTTCCAGCTGCCCTAGTCCAAAGTGAGCTCCTCGCAAAAAAATTCCCTTGATCATCCTGCACCACCACTCCAACTCGGGCCACACTTGTGCGTATGTTAAAGCTTGCATCCACATTGCACTTTAAGACCCCTCTCACCGGTGCTCTCCATTTATGCATCGGCCCCCCCGACCCCAATCGGGCTTCTAAAGACCCAGGGCGTGCTGCCTGCCACTCTTGTAGTCCTCGAACAGCTCTTTCCGCCACCCAGGTCATGCTCAAGCTTTTGTTCTTCCAAACAAGTTGGTTCCTTTGTTGCCACGCCTCCCACAAAACCATGCAAAATTGTTGAACCCTTTCCTTTGTGTGTGTCCGGCGAACCTCCACAAACCACTCAACCATACTCCCATACTGACGTATGCATACATAGCCCACTATGCCCAGGCATGCTTGGGCAAAAGTGTAGCCTATTAAAGTGTAGATAGTGGTCTCCTCATCCGTGCAACATCTAGGACACACATCTGCCACCTCCACCTGACGCCTCTGAAGGTTGGCTCTTACAGGTAGGACATCGTTGAGAGCTCGCCACATAAAGTTACGAACTTTTGGCGGTACCTGCATTTTCCAAATAAACGACCACAGGTCGTTGTTAGTAGTTGTTCCTGACCACCGCTCTTCGTACATCATTCGGTAGCCATGTTTCCCTGAATATAATCCTTTGTCGTCTCTCCAGATCCATGCATCTTCTCTGCTGTATAGGCCCAATGGAATACGCGATATCTCTTGGACTTCCTCCACGCGATACAATCCTTTGAGGTCGTCATACACGTTTTTTTAAAATACCTAACTGTACCGAAAGTGTGTCTACCCCTAGTATTCATCTCTCGTAATGTATTCAGCCACTTTTGGTATACAATCAAATGCTATGAAAGCGCAAATTAATTAATTATCAAAATGGTGTATCAACTACGAGTAATTAATTAAGAGATGAACCAGAGTCTCATGCTCCTACAAATCTTGCTTGAAGGGCTTTGAATGCATCTCGATCGATTACAATACTGATGAATTAGAAATGCGTGAGCTTTTAAAGATTTCAAAATACTCTTTCGATATCCCATTCCTTTTTCAATATACTCCTATTACGATTGCGGTAAAATCCTTCAGGCTCTATTTGATACACAGAATTCAAATTATGGAACTGGAATTGCAGATAACAATTTCAATTCTGTTGTTTGGTTGCACAAAAAAGTAGATTTGGAATTGGTAGTGCCAGAAATGAGTTGGAGTTGGAGAATCCAATTCCATCCAAATCAATTCCATAAAATTTCAACTCCCAATTTAATTTTAATTCCGTCAATTTCGTGTATCAAACGGGCCATCAACATTTTTTCCCCCTCATATTATGCCAGTATTGAGTTTCTAAGTAAGGCCCTCATCCCACAAGTGCATTCCAAGCTAGTACTCCCTAGTCCCTATAATAATATGATAGCAAAAGTAAGGAGATTATATAGAGATATTCAGATACACCCTTTCTGTCCCTGAAAAATGAGAGATTTTGATTTTTAAGGAACTTGAGGAGAACATGTTTTGGTGTTGAGTTTCTAAAAAAATTATTGGATGCGATGAGTAAAAGTAGGATTTGATGAATAGATTAAAATTGAATAAATGTGATATGATAGGTAGATTAAGAATGAATAGGGGTAAAAACGACTTTTTAACATAAAAGAGAAAAATTTCCAGGGACGGAATAAGTACATTTCTTTTTAGTACTCATTTTCTTATTCGTTCATTTACAAAATAGTCAAGCGTTTAATTATAGTTGATATGTTATAAGATTAAGGATTAGGATATGAACCATAAGACATTAAGTTGAACCATATTAAAAATTTGACTTAGAATTTACAAACTTATTATGTATATTTTTCTTTTGAACTTTCATGTGAGATTATATGACATGCCATCATATATATTTATCATAATAAAGTTTATAAAAGAGAAATCTTCCCAGTTTAAATTTATAATGTCCAACCCCTTTCTTCAATTTCTTGTGGCGAGGTCCTTCATTTTTTATAGGTAGGTGGTTGGATGTAAAAACAAAAACAAAACAAAACATAAAAAAACAAAGGAAAGTTGACAAACAAAAAAAATGTGTCATGTGTGTGATTGGGAAAAGGGATTAGTTATATCTTCCAATCATCATATTTTGTTATTAAATTGATTGGGTAATTCTTAATTTGCGTGGGTAACTCCTCAATTCATCAAGCAAATCACTCAAACCCGAGTGAGAAGACCCGCCTTCCTCGACCGCCTCTCTCGCCTTCTCTTTCAGCGCCTTGGCTCGCCTCCTCGTCTCCTCCGACTCCATCACATTCTTGATCGCCTCCGCAACCGCTTCTCGCTTCACCCCGTCGCATCCAGTGTGTTTCCACTCCTTGGATCCCACCCCTACACCCGTCCGAAGAATGTCCGTCACCAGCTTCTCGTTGATGAACTGCTCTGCGAAGACTGGCCAGGTGACCATGGGCACGCCCGCACACACCCCTTCCAGCGTCGAGTTCCACCCGCAGTGCGTCACGAATGCGCCCACCGATCCGTGGTCGAGAATCAGCACTTGCGGGGCCCATCCTCTTATGATTAACCCCTTCCCTCTTGTCCTCTCCTCGAACCCTTCTGGCATCCATTCCTCCTCCTCCTCCCCTGTCCCATCCCCTGTTTTTCTTATCACCCAGATGAACTCCTGTTCAGAAGCCTCTATCCCGGCCGCCATTTCCCGGAGCTGCGAATCCGTGAAGTTCGCCAGGCTCCCGAAGCAAATGTAAACGACAGAGTCGGTTTTCTTGGAATCAAGCCATTCCAAACATTCTTTCTCGCCCACTGTGGGGGGTTTCCCCCTCAGGGCCCTGTCCTCTGTTTCTCTGTTGTACAACGAGAGCGGCCCCACCGACCACGATTTTCTTCCAAGAACCTTCTGGAAGTGATCCGCGTAGTCCGGTTCGAGCCCATAGAAGGTGTTGAAGACCACCCCATAGCTCGTCCGCTCTGCCTCTCTCAGTTGGGATATGAACTCCGCCATCGGAGCCTCCACCTCGGAACCAATCTCGCTCCGGTCTTTCCGTTCGAACGGAGAGACCTGCGACCGCAATAGCGTGAGCTCGTGGGGGAGGTTGGGAATCGTAAACGTGTCCGAATCCGACGCAACGCCGTCGAAGGGCTTGTGGGTTCTGAGGCTGTGCATGGCGCAGGAAGACACGTAGTTGGTTCCGTCAAAGATGAGCCGCGGGATGCCGAACTTGGCAGCGGCGGCGGTGGCCCAAGGGAAGAACGAATCGGCCACGAGGCAGTCGGGGCGGTGCTCTTCCAGGAGCTGCTCGAGAGGTCCCCGGAGCATGGCGCAGGCCCGGAAGAAGCGGGAGGCCGCATCGTCGGAGGTGATCTGGTCGAAATGCTGGCAGTCGTCCGGCAAGCCGACGTCGGTGCCGGGGAAGTGGAGGGAGAGGGCGCCGATTTGGAGGCCGAGCTGCGTGCATTTACGAATGGGCTTGGAGAGAAGGGGCTGGTTGAGGGGGGTGGTGATTATGGTTGACTTGACGGCGGCGCGTGAAGCGAAGAGCTTGGCGAGGTCTAGTGTTGGAATCATGTGGCCGTGAGCCATGATAGGAAAGAAGAATACATGCAGCAGCTGCTGCTTATGATCATCACCACCACCAGTCATCATCTCCATTCAAATAATAAAGAGAAATATATTAGCAGTAGTAGTAATGTAGTAGAAGTAGTAGCTGTCTTAACTCTGATATTACTCCGTTTATATACGGAGTACTAATGAGCAATGAATGATTTGCAGGAATAAAATTTACCTACTAAAACAGAATGATTTTCTGAAAATAGAACCACATGTTATTATTTTCCAATATAGGACCATTGGTCATTATTTATTAGTCATTATTCAACTAAATATTCAGCATCACTTGGACAATATTCTTCCCACTAGTCATTATTAAGCCATATTTAAGAAATAAAAAAGTTTAAGTCCTATATTGAAAAAATGACTTATGTTTTAGTCCTATTTAGTGCAAATTTCACATAATAAAAAATAACTTTCATTCATCACAATTTTGATTACAAATTGAGAATTACGAAGTAATTAAAATTTCATGACTTTTGAAATTATTTTATTTACAAATTGTACATCAATAAAAATAAAAATTACATATTAAAAAACTAAATCATATTTGAAGTCTACAAAACAAGAGTGACAAGAATACTTTATTTTATCAAATAATTAATGAAAACACACGAATAAACAAAAATTATCGAGAGGAAAGAAAAAATAAAATTATAAATCAAATTGGAAGAGAGGGAGTATTTTTTTTCAAACTTACTCACAAATATTTTTAAGGTTTCAAAGTGCTGCATGTATTTCTCCTCTAGTGAATTTCAAGCATTTGTATTTGTGAAATTTGCACTAAATAGGACTAAAACATAATGACTTTCTTAATGTAGGACTTAAACTTTTTTATTCTATAAATAGCACTAAATAATGACCTCGTGAGAGAAATAATGTCCAGTAATGCTAGACATTTACTTGAATAATGACTACTTGTTAATGACCAAAAGTCCTACATTGGGAAATAAAAACAAATGGTTCTATATGAGGAAAGTCATTATGTTTTAGTCCTATTTAGGTAAATTTCTCGTCTGAAAGTGCGACTTTATTTCTCCTCTTGTTTGAGACCCCAAAGGAATCCACTATTTCTTTTGAGTAGGGGTAAATGCCCACAATTAATTTTTTGTAATACAGTTAAAAATATTTTTTTACAAATTTTATGTATGTATGCATGTCCCTAACAAAAATTAATCTGGCCCCATTTAATTAGGCTAAATTTAATTTTTTTTGTTTAATTTTTCTTAGTAAAGTCTATTTTATTACATATAATTAATTGTTTATAAAATAAAATTTCACCTTACCTATTAAAAAATATTCTATATTGAATAAATATTTGAAATAAAAATCATAACTTTTTTTATTACAAATAGTATATAAAAAAACTGGGAGTGCTGCCCCAAGACCCCGATCAATGTTGTCCACATCTACTTCAAATCATGGGTCCACAACTATTGTAGCGTACTCTAGAAGTATACTCCATCCGTCCTATAATGATCTTCCTGGTTCGCAAAACGAAGAAAAATCACAAGTTTTTTCAATCTATTTTATTTAAATATTGGTATAGAAATAAAAAATAAAACATACATATTTAAGAACTACATCAAAAGTTCAACAAAACAAGTGGTGACAAGATATTTTATTTTATCATATAGGCCATGAAAAAACATAAATAAATATAAATTCCCGTGAAGTTGGAATAGTGGTCTGGGAAGATCATTATAGGACGGAGGGAGTATGTTTCATTCTCTATATATAATACTACCTCCGTCCCAAATTATTTGCCACGTTTGCTTTTTCAACAGTCGCGGGAACTTTTGTTTATTTCTTCGTTTTCATTGGTTATTTGATAAAATAAAATATTATTGACACCTCTTATTTCGAAAAACTTTTCATGTAGTTTTTTGATATGTAATTTTTGTTTTTTATTTTTTTACCAATATGTAAATAAAATGAATTAAAAAAACTTGATATTTTACCTCGGTAATAGAAATGTGACAAATAATTTGGGACGGAGGGAGTAATATTTTTGTATCTTTTTTTTTTCTATTTTTTATTTTTAATTTCAAACAAAAACAAATCCAAGTTTTAAAAAATATTATAATAAATACAGTAAGGATCTTTTGACACAAAATAATGATCCGAAAATGACCCAAGCATTTTTGAGCAGCTACGTGCTTTGTTATTTACATTAGTGAGGAAAGAGAGGCTGAGGTCAGGAAAGTCTTAACTGATACAACCCATCAATTTTAATAACAAAACACTATAAGTGTCCTATTGCAGTGTCTTGTTCAAATTATTTTTTCTCCTGATCACTTATACTTAATAAAATCAGATCATATGATGCTAGATCAGATTAGATTAGATCTGATTAGATCAGACCAGGTCCGATCCAATCAGACCAGATCAGATCAAATCCAACCAGATTTGATTAGAGGAGATCAAGTCGAATCAAATCAGATCTACACAAAATTATTATTATTATTATTATTATTATTACTATTATTATTATTACTATTACTATTACTATAACTATTATTATTATTGCTTTTGTTATAATCATTACAATTAATATTAATATTATTATTACTAATATAATTATTAATATTATTTTTGATATTATTATTATTACTATTATTATAATTACTATAGTTACTACTATTATTAATATTAATATTATTATAAATATTGTTACCGATGTTATTATTATTATCTTTATTACTAATACTATTATTATTACTTTATTATTATTATTATTATTATTTCTATTATTATTATTATTATTACTATTATTAATATAGTTATTATTCTTACTACTATTATTATTATGATTATAACTATCAATACTATTTTTATTATCATTATTACTATTATTATTATTACTATACTATTAACATTATTATGATTATTATTATTGTTACTGTTACTATTACTATTATTATTATTAATATTAATATTAATATTACTATTATTATTATTATTTCTATTATTATTACTAGTATTATTATTTTAGTTATTATTATTACTATTCTTATTGATATAATTCTTATTACTATTGCTATTATTATTATTTCTATTATTATTACTATAATCATTTAAATTTCTTTTATTATTATTACTATTATTACAACTATTATAATAATAGTTTTCATTTTAATTTTAATTAAATTTGTTAGCCTAGTATTTTATGTGTATATGTTTATTGTGTATTGGGCCGTGTATAGCTTGGGCCCGTGACTTGTATTCTCGGCTTTGTATATAAACTCCCGGTGACTAATGGAAAACTCAGTTTCACGTAAAATATTTCTACATGGTATCGGAGCGATCCTAGGGCAAAGTCTCGAAACCCTACGCTTGTGTGTGTGCCGACCGGGAGTTTTCGCCGTCCGATTCGGCGGTGTCTGTTCGTCGATAGTGCGCCGGAGTCTGGAGTCCATCAGCCCTCCTCCGTCGCTGTCTTGTTCGCTGTTCGTCGTCGTTGTCTTCTCGTCGCCGGCTCTTCCGATCGCCGTCCGCCAGTATGTCCGGTGAAGTCGTCGCCTCCAACCCTAAAAAGACTCGGCTCATTCATGATCCTTCTTCCATATATTACCTTCACCCCTCCGAAGGCCCAGGTAATTCCTTGACAAAATATCTTCTTAAAAGTGACAATTTTAATGTATGGGAGAAGGCGATCCGTAATGCTTTAGGTGGTCGTGGGAAATCTGTTTTCTTGTCATCCGGAGGTGTTCCTAAACCTACTGATGAACAGGAATTGTCTACATGAGGTGCTAATCATCAAATTATTTGTAGTTGGATTTTTAACAGTGTTGATGAATCTATCCAGCCCAGTATTGTTTCTCACTCAATAGCTTATGAATTGTGGGATGATTTGAAGAAACGCTATAGTTGTTCTAATGGGCCTCGTGTGTACCAGTTAAAGTCAGAGTTAAATTCTTTACGTCAGAAAGGTCAAAGTGTTGTTTCCTACTACAACCAATTTATTACTTTGTGGAATCAATTGTATGGCTCCTCTGATCTTACCGGGGGCTGCCGGTGTGAGGCCGCAG